CCCCCAGTTCCTATTCAGTTACCGCCTGCGGGCCACGGTGTTGCAGTGGGGGGAGATGAGTCCACCGGCAAACGCGCTTGGATGCCTAAGATGGATTTTCCACGCTTTGACGGTACAGATGTGAGGGTTTGGTTGGACAAGTGTGAGGCATTTTTTTAGCTGTATCACATACCTGACAATTTCAAAGTTACTTCTGCTTCTCTGTATCTGTCAGACAACGCGGCTCACTGGTATCAGGCATTCAAACAGAACAGCGCATTTCATACTTGGGAACAGTTCCGTGCTGCTGTTTTGCAAGAGTTTGATGTGAACATACACAGAGAGCGACTGAAGTCGTTAATGATGCTCAAACAACAGGGTTAAGTGGAAGAATATAAAGTGCAATTTCAGCAGCTGGTGTACAGCATCAGGTTATATGAGCCAGCCATAAGTGACACATTTCTGGTGACCAGGTTTGTAATGGGACTGAAAGAAGAATTGCGAAGTGTGGTGGAACTTCAGCTTCCTGCTAATGTGCAAACAACATCCATGTATGCTACAGTGCAGGAAGGGCTCTTAAATCAGCAAAAGTCATATAAGTCCAGTTTTCGGAAGAACACTGCTACCAAAACCGACAGCAAACACAATTTTGCTCCGGGTGAACTGTGGAAGGCCAAGCAGCTCAAAGAGTACAGGCGTGCGAATGGTTCGTGTTACAGCTGTGGGGAGAAATACGTCCCTGGACACACCTGTAACAAAGCACCTACGCATGTAGCTCAGTTAAAAGCAGCAGAACTGGTAGACCCTCATGAGATCATCTCTGATGCAATGTTAGATGCTTTGGTGGACGACCATCAGCCTGAATGTGCTCACATTTCAGTTACAGCTTTGTCTGGTGCAGCTCATCCTAAAACCATACAACTCAGAGCGCTTGTTGGTAATCAAGTAGTCCTGATACTGATCGACTCGGGCAGCACTCATACCTTTGTAGATAAAGCCTTGCTGAGCAGAGTACCAGTTACTGCAGAGAAACTAGCAACCCCTCTGCATGTGAAGGTGGCAAATGGAGACAAAGTAGATTGTACAGAGTTTGTGCCCAAACTGAACTGGTGGATTCAGGGCCATAATTTCTCTACTCCCATGCATGTGCTGGAATTGGGAGGGTATGACATTATTTTGGGGATGGATTGGCTAGAGAAATGGGGAGTTATGCAGTGTCATTGGGCAGATAAATGGATCAAGTTTGACTACCAAGGAAAAGAAGTCAAGTTGCAGGGAGTGTTACCTGTTAAACAAGATCAGATTCAGGAAGTTTCTATGGAACAACCGAGGAAGTGGGACAAGGGAAATGACATCTGGGCAACTGTTGTTCTGCATCACATTTGTGTGGCTCCAGTGACTGAAGTGCCAGAGGAAGTGCAGAAACTGCTACAAGCAAAGAAAACTGCATTTATAGATCCAAAAACCTTGCCTCCCCATAGGGAGTTTGACCATGAGATACACTTGGTGCCTGATGCTGTACCTGTCAATTGCAGACCTTATAGGTACTCTCCTCTGCAGAAAGATGAAATAGAGAAACAGGTATCAGAAATGTTGCAGTCTGGGCTGATCACACCCAGCTTGAGTCCTTTTGCTTCACCTGTACTGTTGGTCAAGAAAAAAGATGGTACTTGGAGGTTTTGTGTGGATTACAGGAAACTCAACTCCCTCACTATTAAAAGCAAATTTCCAATGCCAGTGATTGATGAACTGTTGGATGAGTTAGGAGGTGCTAAGTGGTTTTCCAAGCTGGATCTTAGATCAGGTTACCACCAAATAAGGATGGCAGAAGCAGATGAGTTTAAGACAGCATTCAAGACACATAATGGACAATATCAGTTTAAGGTGATGCCCTTTGGATTGTGTACTGCTCCAGCTACTTTCCAATGTTTCATGAACTTCATTTTCAAAGGTTCCAACAGAAAGTTTGTGCTCATATTCATGGATGATATACTGGTATTCAGTGGGACTTTGGAAGAACACTTGCAACATTTGCAAGAAGTATTTGATATACTCAAGGAGAACAACTTGTTTGTTAAGGAAAGAAAATGTGCCTTTGCTCAGCAGTCAATGGAGTATCTGGGCCACATTATTACTGATGCAGGAGTCACCACTTATCCTGCCAAGACAGCTGCTATGGTGGACTGGCCCACTCCCACTAATGTTACTGAATTGAGAGGATTTTTGGGGCTAACTGGGTACTATAGGAAGTTTGTTAAAAACTATGGTCTGTTAGCTAAACCTCTTACTGTCCTATTAAAGAAACAAGCATTCCAATGGACTGAAACTGCTCAGACTGCATTTCAACTCTTGAAGCAGGCCATGGCAACTACTCCTGTTCTGGCCCTACCAGATTTCAACAAATCTTTCACAGTGGAAACAGATGCTTGCAACACTGGAATTGGAGCAGTGCTCACACAAGAGGGACATCCAATTGCATACTACAGTAAGGCCTTGGGGACAAATAGTCAGAAGATTTCCATTTATGAAAAAGAATTTATGGCCATTATGATGGCTATTGATAGATGGAGATCATATTTGTCCAGAGCCCCATTTGTGATCAAAACTGATCATCAGAGCTTGTGTCACCTTGGGGATCAAAATTTGACTTCTGACTTGCAGAGGAAAGCCATGACAAAATTAGTTGGACACCAGTTTTCCATCCAGTATAAGAAAGGGGTAGAGAATATTGCTGCAGATGCCTTGTCCAGAGTGGCACACTTGTTCCCTATACAAGCTGTGTCTACCAGTAAACCCCTATGGATACAGGAAAGCCTAAACTCTTATACAATGGATCCCTTTGCTCAGACCATGCTGTAGAAAATGGCAATAGATACAAATGCTTGTCTTGGATTTCAACTCTAGGATGGCCTGATCAAACATGAGGAAAAAATCTGGGTGGGAGCCAATTCTGGACTCCAAACCAAACTGACTCAAGCTTTCCACTCAACTCCTGTTGGGGGACACTCTGGCATGTTGCCCACATACCACAAAGTCAAGCAGCTGTTCAGTTGGACTGGATTAAAGAAGGATGTGGAGAACTTTGTTAAACAGTGCAGCATCTGTCAGCAAGCTAAGCATGAGCTCTGTAGAGTACCAGGTCTACTGCAACCTCTGCCAATTCCAGATGGTCCTTGGCAGGCAATCAACATGGACTTTATTGAGGGTTTTCCTAAATCAGAAGGATATAATTCCATACTGGTCGTGGTCGATCGTTTCACCAAAGTAAGCCACTTCCTGCCCCTGAAACATCCTTTTACAGCAGCTTCAGTGGCTAAGGTGTTCCTCAACACGATTGTCAAGCTACACGGTCTGCCATTGTCTATTGTGTCTGATCGTGACAGGATATTCACGAGCTCTTTCTGGAAAGAGTTGTTCAGAGGTTGGGGCACCGAGCTGCAGATGAGCACAGCATATCATCCGCAGACGGATGGGCAAACCGAGCGGGTAAACCAATGTTTGGAAATGTATCTGCGCTGTGCTGTGCATGATTCGCCGCACAAGTGGGCTGCTTGGTTACCGCAAGCGGAGTTCTGGTACAACACAACATATCACTCCTCGCTCGGCTGTACTCCTTACAAAGCACTATACGGTCATGAGGCCAACGTGGGCCAGTTAGAAGGTCAGGCCAAGTCCTTGCATCCAGATGTACAGGAATGGCTCTCAACGCACACTCAACATACTGCAACACTGAAGGAACATCTGGCTAGAGCAGAGTGCAAGTACAAACAGTATGCAGACAGAAAATGATCTGATCGCCAGTTCTCTGAAGGAGAGATGGTATATCTCAGACTGCAACCGTATACACAATCATGAGTGGTCAATCGGCCGAGCCCTAAGCTTGCAATGAAGTTCTTTGGACCATTCAAGATTCTGGCTAAGGTGGGCAATGCTGCATATCGTCTGGAACTTCCTCGTGGCAGTCTAGTTCATCCAGTATTCCATGTCTCCCAACTAAAGGAACACATTCCTGATCACACTCCGGTATTCACTACCCTGCCAGAACCGTTGGATCTATCTGAACCGGGGCTGATGCCTGAAGAAATCATGGAGCGCAGGCTGGTTAAGAAGGGCAATGCAGCACATCAGCAAGTTCTGGTGAAATGGACTTCAGTTCCAGCATCGGCAGCTACCTGGGAAGATTACGAGGTGCTGCGCGCGTGTTACCCCAATGCACCAGCATGGGGACAGGCTGGTTCTCCTGGGGCGGGTACTGTCAGTACTAGCGCACTGACGATGAGCGTCAACAGAGTGGGAAGACGTAAACAGGCAAAGAAGGACACGTAAATCACTCGCGGGTAATTCAAATGGTAGAGTTGGGCCAGCATGGCACTGTGGGCCGTTGGGCCAGAGTTGGGTTGTAAATGAGCCGTGCGTCTTTATAAGCAATGGTCATCCATTGTAATCGATATCGATGAAATGAAAAAGCTCTGAACCTCCCATTCTGTTCTTATCCTCCTCGTTGCTTCTCCGACCTCTCAACCTCAGCTCAGATCTCGCCTCTTCTCCCTTCTCCGACCTGCGTCAGTCGCCGGCGAAATCCTGCCGTCCCTAGGACGTGACAGGATGGTTCTTTAGGATCTGGACTAAAGTGGTTGCCTCGTGAGTGCTCAATTACCACACCATTTACTAGTGCCACACAGTAGCCGTCATAAGGCTTAAAATTTTAAGTACCATGAGTTGGTATTGAAGCCTCACACCCTGACAATGCACAACTACCATGACATTTCATATTCAATCACAAAGCAGATTCATAATCTTTCATATATCTATGCTCTTACAACACTAACACAACCATTATTTAAGTCACCTGCATCGTGGCACACAATGCCTACTTGTCAAATTTCATGGGATATCCTTGGATTGCAATGAATAACTCTAGTACTATGGCGACTTGGCGAGCAAATGGAAAGTCCCGGTATAGACCAGTAGTACAATATCTTCTAAATGCATGTTTAGCTCGCACTTCTGATGCCTCATAACTACTCATGGCCCATCAGTTCTTTTGCTCTAGCCACAAGAGCGGATAGAGGTATGCTGTGCTTCATGAGTCCTGCATCACCCAAGAAGAGCCTGTAGTTTTCAGCCCTTGAAGGTGTACGCTCTACCATTAGCAGGGCTTCCATCATCTGACAGTTGTTGAAATAGCTAGCATAGGCCGGATTGAATTCCATCATGTGTATGGCATGTTCAACTATCATCCTCCTGATACCAGGACAATGAGCAGTGGGTATCATATTTGAGTTAAGTGCATTGACAAGCCTCTTTATAAATCCTTCCTTAATCTGAACATGTTCAAGCTCTCGCGCAAAGTCTTCTGGAATGACATTACATATTTGTGAACTAAGACCAATAAGGACCTCCAGTTCTGTCCCTTCTGCATCCATTATTCCTTTCAGCACCTATAGTGGAAATAGATAAGCTATGTAAGCCATGATTAAACAGTAATATTTGCAAATTTTTGTTTAAGTGATTGATGATGCCGCCCATTTATTTAGTCGTGTCGTGTGTATAAAGTATAACAGTTGTAATTTATGATGTTAACATTTATTTACTTGAGTATTAGCTTAAATGTATCAGTAGGAATTGATTGCAGTAACATGTTAAATAGTAAGTCATGGTATCTGCCTCTGATAGTGCACATGTAGCTTATATTTGTAGTGCTCACCTCTCTCAAAATGTAGGAGATTTCGTTCAGGTCAGAGTTGCGAAGCCCAGGTCGAGCATGCACACACATATTCCGCAACAGGCTTGAAGCTATGTACCTGTACCTACCACCATGGATCATAACTGTGAGTTCCTTTATGAATACATACCCTGGTTATGCTAACATAACCAAACAGTTATTGGCACTCTCCATTGCCAGTACTGCCAGTGCTTGCCCTGATTTCATTCGTAGCCGCTGATCAGAATCCGTACTTGAGAGTGCATCTTGGCTGAGAAATGCATGCATCAACCTGCTAATGATTACTCGGATGTGTCCAATCTCGTCCTTTGTATTTCCCTCCATGGCCAGGTTTCTAAGGAGTTCTGTTGTGAGCTCCCTAAGTTCATGACTGCTCCCTCTATTGTCCAAGATCTCTGCAAGGTTGCTCAAAATGAAGGGATGTGCTGTAATTTTCTGACACAAAGTTACACCAAATTTCCCATTAGTACTTGAAAGTCTTGCCAACAACTTCAAAGATGAAAGTTTCAGCAGTGTCTTGTGTGTCTCACTAATATTTGTGATGACATTTATGTTGCTTGTGAACTCTACAATCTTTGAGATGAGGCCAGTCACTCTACTGATTTCTATACCATTCTCCAGATCAAAGCTAGCAAGCTTTTGAAGAATGAACATGCCCTGTACAGAGAGAAGATCCTGGTCGGTCGATGGCTCCTCCTCTAGAACAGATGGACGTTCTGTAGTCTGTCTCCAGTATCCGAGTGTATGGGTGTTTTGTTCGTCCGTGTAAGTTGTTGGCTCCTCTCTTGGAATCAAACAGTAAAAAGCCATCTGTTTCAACCATTTAAGTAGCGCGGATGTATGTTCGTTCCTGCTAACTCGCTGAATCAGGTTGTCTTGTTTTGGCTCAGGGCTACCAATGTCCAAAAATGGATTAATTACATTCTCTCTGTGAATAGTGTCCAAAAGTGAGGCTATGAGCTGCACTGCCCCAGGTATATGGACAACTCTAAGGTTATCAGCGAGCTCGGCCGTGACTTTCGAAGCAAATATTCTAATATCTCTATCCACTTCACTTGTCCAGCCCAACATGCTGATCAAGTAGGTCACTGTCTTTGTGTAAGTGGTGAGTTCTAACGTGGCTTTAGTCTTTAGGGGCTCCTTTTTCAGAAAGTTGTGTAGCATCTTAAGCCCATAGAGTTGCATCTTGGGTGATTCTGACTTCAAACAATCCATTGCAAATATGATGAGGCTGGTCTTCTTTGGAGCAAGCATAGAACCTTCCATGCATCTGTCGAAGGCGTATGCATAATAGAAATTGACATATTGCACTTCAAAGGGACCTCTAAACCCAACACGATGGATCAGGGATCTTCGCAAGATGAATGAAAACATCTCAAGGATGGCGGCAACAATGTAGAGTAATCTTTGTCCAAGCACCATCACATAAAAGATGATGAGAGATGGCTCAAGGTTTGTCTTGCTCTCAAGGTTTTGCTTGTAGTCCTATCGTATAACTATAAGGTGCCACACTACCAGCCCAATGCGCAATGCTGCTGCTGGAATCTGGAGGTTGCCTAGTGGCGCTATCATTAGAGCAAATATGACCATCGCAAGGTTAAATCTTTGAACAGAAATTATTGACGCAGCAAACATGCACGAGTTCAGAATAACTCGATGCCAAAGTGCTATTTTGCTGCCAAGAACACAGTCTGCTAGTTTGACGATACTTGTGAACCGCAGCCTGCTGATTGTGAGTAGGATCACTACCACAAATATTAGAAAGAACACTGTGCAGTAGGCAATTGAGCCAAGTCTTTGACTGTTGAAATTTTCATAGACCCTATGCAGTACAGAGGGACAAAGCAGTAGGATTGCAACCATTGGGCGCCATAATGAGATCGCACGGCTTAGCGGATCACACATGGGTGGAATTGCAGCTTCTAGACATAGAATTGGAACGATCACAATTACTGCCACCGACAAAGCCAGTATCACTACTATTTCATGATTGCCCCATATATCAATTATGCCCATCAGAACATTGAAGAAGCATATGAGCAAGATCAGCTCATTCAAGCCAAGAGATCTGAAAGCACCTCTACTACGGAAGAACAATTGGTAATCAAGCCTGTTGTTGCGGCTGAACATCCTGAAGCACATGCGTATGGGGTATAGTTAGACAAAAAAGGTAACATACAATGAACAAAGCAAAGGCGGCATGCTTGTATCTAAATCAGAGTGACAATTGCCAAATTTTGGACCCTTTTTCGAGAGTCCAAGGAAAGAATTACGTACAAGCCCAAGGAAAGGCTACACCCCAAATCACAACACTACACTCCTAAGGGCTAGGTGTGGGTGCTAAAACGGGCAGATCTCGGGGAGGGGGTACCGAACTGGCGATCTTGGCACGATGGTGAACAGGAAGTAAAGGGGACATATTTTTACCCAGATTCGGGCCCTCTCGAAGAGGTAGAACCCTACGTCCTGCTTGTATTGTATTTATTGTGGATGAGGTACAAAGTATAGATGATCTACCTCGAGATCGTATGGATGAGTTGTAACCTCTTAAGTCTTGAAAGCGTGCCTTTACAGACTAAACCCCTCAGCTTATATAAGCGCCCAGGGTATTTAGGGTTATAAGTATGTCGGTTACTACTAGAGATAACATGACAATCATTCAAATATGCCTTGAAGTGTACGCCAAGTCTTCGGAGGATTCCATCTTGAGTATGTCAAGGGTCAGGGTAGGTGTAGCCTATTCTTCAGTTGTCGACGGTTCCTCGGCTCGACCCATGACTGGCAGGCGTACGTGGTGTGCACCCCCTAATCCAGGACACTGTCACTAGGCACCAATGGTAGTAGGTCTGCAGGTCACTCTGATCCTGTTTCTGCCCATGATTGTGCCTCAATTTTAATCATATCGAGTAGGCTAGCGAGCTTGGGCTGCTCGGCGTCAAAGACAACTACTTTCCAAATCACACTAGGCCATGAGCATGATCACTGATGATGTGCCTTTCCTCATGGTGGTAGGGATGGAATGGGTGGCCAGCTGCCAACACTCCACGAAGTCCTCACTGAAGATGGGCAACCGATAGGAGGATGGAATCCACGAGAGCACCTCGTGCCATTAGGTGCATTAGAAAGGATAGTCTGTAAGGAGGTGACCCATGATTTTCTTTGATTGGTCACATAGCATGTATCTGGGGCATGATGCAACCCCACCTCGTGAGTTTTTCCACCCCCACCGACGGTTCTGACACACCTACTAGATGAAGAACTTGATCCAAGGAGTCCCCCCATAACTTCCAGTTAAGTTTCCACAGTCTCAAAAGAAATCACCCCTTGGAATGTGCCCCCCATAACTATGTAATCACTTCACGGTGTTAATTGCTTATAGCTTGTTGTTGACATGTGTTTTATTACTGTAAGATATATTCGTCCAAATTGCTATATATATTCATATGCCCATGCACTTGTCTGTGTTTTCATGACCCCTACCTACAACTTTTCAAGTTGTCGTTTTCCTAAAGCTTGTAGAATGTTATTTATAGGACTTTGGTGAATGAAGATTTACATTGAGTTTATGGCAACCATACTATGAAGAAGGGAACCAACAAAATACTTTGGTTTGAACTCCAAGAACAAATCATAAACTGAAGTCTTCAAAATTCACTTTGTAGCCACCCCAAAGTTTGAGTTTCCCAAGCCCCGGTACCTCGAAGATTTTATCTCCCGTTGCTATCAAGCTCCTTGGAGTTATTCATTCTCAAATAAAAAACCCATATTCTATGGGTCAGAACCCTGTTTCATTTGTTCCAGGACTATCGATCCAATTTCATTTGTTCCAGGACCATCGATCCAATCCTCCTTGATACATCATCTGTTAGCACCGACACTTCTGAGCATAAAAATCTCTATCGACACTTTCGAGCCTTCTTGGTTTGCTTCTTTGTGGGTCACATAAAGGTTTGAGACCTTCGTCGTTGTCTGATCAGAACGTCCGGGCTGTGACTCAACGTTTTTTGCACATTCTCATCTTGAGACCTACTCTGTATACTACGGTACCACTAAGAGATTGGTTTCATTCTGTACTCCGTAGTAGTTCTATTCTTGTAGAAAAAGAGCCTCCTTTATTGGTTGTAGCCATTGCTTCTTTTGTCCTATACTTTAGAGTATTGTCTCCTGTTTGATTCCCGAACAATGCCCTAGCTATTGAAATATAAGTGAACTGACTCTGAAGTTCCAAAAGTTTTCTTCCAGTTTTCAGGCTAGTTGCATTTTCATGCCATTGTAAGATTTTTGGACCCTCACCCTTCTCGCCGCCGGCAAGGACGGAGGGAGAGGGGAGGGGCCGAAGCGGAAGAGCAGGGGAGAGCTGGAAGAGAGAGGCAGAGAGAACGAATCTGAGACGTCCCTCAGTAAAAAACAAGCGTCATCAAGGTGGAGGTGATGAATGTCAAACACAATTTTTGCAAACCTTAAGTTGATAACTTCCATTGGCTCAAGCCCGCAAATATTTTTCTCTTGCCAAAGAAAGATGGGTAGAGGACATCAACGAGTTTACACCCATTAGCCTCATCTATGCAATAGCCAAGATAACCAAGATGCTTGCAACTAGGCTCTCCCCCCATATGAACACCATTGTATCCAACACCCAAAGTACCTTCATCAAAAGGAGAAGCATCCATGATAATTTCATGTATGTTCGGAATCTCGCACGCCGTCTGCACAGAAACAAGACCCCAGCGCTCCTTTTCAAGCATGACATTAGGAAAGCTTTCGACTCGGTGCATTAGGAATCCATTCTAGACATCCTTCAGAGGAAAGGCTTCCATAGTAGATTTCATGATTGGACCATCGCACTTTTACAGACCTCCACCTCGCAGGTTCTCCTCAATTGGGATTCCGAGCTCACTCATCTCCCATGGCCTTGGTCTTAAGCAGGGAGACCTGCTCTCCCCACTACTCTTTGTCATTGACATCGACCCGCTTCAGCAGATCCTCAACTCAGCCATGAGGTTTGGTCTTCTTAATAAGATTAGAGGCCGCTGTTTTGTGGCACCTTTTAAAGAGGACATTCAAAACCTTACCCACATTGTTAAGGAATTTGGTGAGGTGACGGGACTACAAACAATTTTTCACAAGAGCTCGATGGTGCCTATTCGGTGAAGACATGTGGACTTGGATACCATCCTTGAAGGGCTGCCCGCCGTGCATTCATCCTTCCCCATGAGATATGTTGGCTTCCCTTTTCCTGTTTGGCAGCTTAGGCGGGTCAATTTCCAATATGTTGAGGACAAAATTGCTAAGAAGCTTGTGCCTTGGGAGGGCATGCACATCACCTTGGTGGGCCTAAGAGTGCTTGTTAAATCAGACATCACCTCTCAGGTCATCCACCACCTTATGCCACAGATTGTCCCCACACATGTCCTCAAAAGCATCATCAAGATCGAGCGCACCTTCCTTTGGGCGAGGACTGCTAAGGTGATGGGTGGCAAGTGCAAGGTAAATTGGGAAGCCGTCTACGTCCAACCCACCTTGGGGGCTTCGGTATTCTGCATCTTGGCAAGTTTGGTAGAGCTCTTCGGTTGCAATGGCCTTGGTGTGACCCATCAAAGATTTGGGTGCTTTGGCAACCCTTATGACGAGGATGGCATGGCCCATTTTTTTGCTCTCACCACCACCATTGCTGGCAATGGAGAGAGGACTCCATTCTGGAACGCCCCATTGTTGAATGGTCGGAAGCCTAAAGATGAGCACCTCTTATCTACACGCCCTCAAAGCGCGAGAATTGGAAGGTCAATTTGTCCATGCACGAGGAGGCTTTGGGTTAAAGTCATTGATATGCGCCATGGTCTGTCTTAGAATCATATGACGGAATTCATCGAGCTTTGGTCACAACTATCGCACATCACTCTCTCTGAGGAGAGCCAAGACTCCATCACTTGGAAGCTCTCTCCTAGCAGGGACTACTCGGTAAAGTCGGCTTACAATGCTCAATTCATGGCAAAATTGTGAACTTTGTCCTTATCTAAAGGCGAGTTCGAGACCGGTGCTCATCTTCTCTTCAAATGTCGCTACACCTTGAGAGTTTGGAGGTTGGTCAAAGCTTGGTTAGGTCTCCATGCTATCGACCTCTAGTCCTCTCCCAGTGGGCAACCCACCACTACGTTCATGATTGCTGGACTCACTTAGCCACTCGTAGCAAGGCCTTAGCGACCCTCTTGATGCTCCGATTTAGAATGAGAGAAACACGACAAATCGTTTTTAACATTTTGAAGAACGAGGCAAAAGTTTGGGTCATAGCGGGGACGAAAGGTTTGAGTAACTTGATGCCGGGAACGTAACGACTTTTGTATCATACGGGCCTTGGCCGCTTTGTAAGAGCCCTCTCTTAGAGCATCTTTACTAAAGGCGCTAAAAGTAGCCCGCGCTACAAAAACCACTAATTTAGCGTGCAGAGAAAAAACAAAGCTCTTCAACAGGCGCTGCAAAAGCCAGCATGCTGCAAAAACTATCCAGCGCACCGGGAATTTCTGCATCACATGTGGGATATTTGGTGTGCGGCGTACAATGCACTGGACAATCTGAACACGACGCGCGAGGACCAACTGGTGTGCTCCCTCTGCTCGTCCCGCCTTGAGCTCGCCGCCGCCGGCCACCGCCACTCCTCTGCATGCTCGTCCCGGCACGGGGCAGAGCCGCTGCTGCCCTTCTGCTTGCCCGCTGCAGCTCGCCGCTGGCCTTCTATTCGCCGCCTCGAGCTCGCCGGCCGGGAGCACGTGCGGTGTCCGAAGGCGAGCGGTGCGTTCAGAGCATGCGATTCCAACGATTGCAAGTTAGCTTGGTCCAACGATTTGGGAAGCTAAGCTAGCTAGCTCGTGGCAAGCTAGCTCGCGTGCGCCACCGAAGATGGTTTGCAAGCTAGCTTGCTTCAACGGTTGGGGACCTAATTGTGTTTTTGTTTTAGTTAGATGGATTTATTTGTAAATGTTATAAGAAACTGTTTGTTGTAGATGCTGAATTGTTGCGCGCTGTTCGTTGTCCGTTATATTTTTATGCGTCGACTGGATTGAATCGGCCAAGACACGCTAAAATTATTAAAATGGTGCTGTAAAATTATTTTAGCGCACCGCTTTTTTGGACGCCTGTGGGAGATGCTCTTAATTAATGAATGAGCAAGTATTTTGCCTCCACTTTCACAAATCACCGAAAAAAGAAGTAAAGGAATGATTTATAGTGCGACTAGTAGTTGCATACGTACCTCAAGGCTTCCAGGAAAACTATGGCCGTCAAGACCCCGAAATCCGAGCCGAGGTCGTTGGAGTTGGCGTAGCCGCCGAGCAGGACGACGGTGGCCCAGGTGAAGGCCAGCGTGCCCAAGGCGTCGCCGAGCCTCTCGATCAGCGCGACGAAGCGAATGAAAAGATTCAGCCCCATCTCCGGCCCTGCGGCGGCCTTGCCGGCGGGAGGATCCGCCGGCATCTGTACGCCGTGCTCGCCGACGTTCGCCATGCTGTGCTATTACAGCAGCAGCAGGAGCGAACTACACTCGACAGCTGCTTTGGTGACGAGTCCAGTTCATTCGGGGTTTTCTCTTTATAAATATACCGCACACATCATGTTTCTCTTCTGTGAAAGAATAGAAAAGGACTCCACGGCAGACCATTTTCTTGGAGGGTATATCTCAGAAAGAGATAAGGTCAACCGAAGACCACAAAGTGTTTCCATCGAGCCGCATGAGACGCACAGCCACTCGAGGACGCTCGTCTTCCAAGTCGTCGCGGGAAGTGGAAAGCGAGTACGCGGTGCTTGCCGACAGACAAACAGTCGACATGACGAAGCCGGACATTGGTCAAACTTCGGCCATGAGGTCGTTCCCGGAAGTCTGCGTGGGCGAGAAAAGGATTCGCCTCACCTTTGCAGTCTGCATGGTCCTCCGACCCCGAAGGGCCAAAGATTCTAAACCTACGGGTTGCAATCTACGGAGGGACGTGTCTCCACTATACCTGGTCATGGGTAGCCCGGCCCAGGCAGCTCGACCCGGCCCGGCCCGGCCCGAAAACCCCTGGCCGGGCTGAGCCTGAGCGTGCCGTCAGGCCGGGCTCGGGCTTGCGAAAAAGATGTTTTAGCCATGGTCAAGCCAGGCCATGTCGGGCTTTTCCGGGCTAAGGCCTGATTTAGTAGGCCCGATGATTGGGCTGGGCTAGGCTTGGGTCTGGATTTTCAGCATCGGGCTTTCTTTTAGCCCAGCCCGAGATATACCCAGGTACCTCCACTCAGGCATTCATCAGACACTAATCCTTTCCCACCTCGGATTCCAACTGTGGTGCAGGTGGTTCCCAATCACGTCCAACCACATCATTTCGTAGATTATTTTTCCATGACTTGCCCACCTCGGGTCTTCTCTAAGAAAACAAAAACAATCCATTCGTAGTCTTTGGAATTTGTCAGGCTATACGAACGGTAGGTGACAGATGGGAAGCATGGCTACACCTCGTCAAAAGGTTGATGGATGTGGACTTCTCTGATTAGTCTGATAGTATTTACTGGAAATTAACTATGAATGGCATTTTTTCAGTGAAATCTATGTATTTGAACCTAATTGATTCTGGTCCCATTTCGAAATCGCTATATATTTGGAAGATTAAGGTCCCGTTAAGAATTAAAGTCTTCATGTGGTTTGTTCACAAAGAGGTGGTTCTGACTAAGGATAACTTGGCAAAACGTAATTGGGAGGGTAGTCAAAGATGTAGCTTTTGTGATCAAGATGAAACAGTCAAACACCTCTTTCTCGATTGTCCTCTTGCCAAACTTTTATGATGCTCAGTTCATATAGCCTTTAATGTAACCCCTCCAAATAGTATTCACACGTTATTTGGGGCGTACCTAAATGGAGTAGAGACAAATATTGTGATGAGGACATCAATACCATTGTTAAATCCACGGCCTCTGCTGCTATACATACTGGACCAATTACTAGAGGTCGCGCACGTCAATTGAATTACCAGGTACTTTCGTTTCTTGGTAATGATTCTAATGTTCATGAGAATATGATGCTGCCTAAATTGGATACATTTGTTTTGCTTATAAATGAAGGGCCTGGAATGGATAAGAGGGATGAACACTGGAGCAAGACCAAGCAGGGAGATGATGGCATGCGCAAGGGGATCAAGAACGGAGTTACAAGTGATGGTTTCAGGACTTTGAAGCCACCATAAGGAGTGCATGAAGCCTTGGACAAAATATACAAGATGCCACTTCATAAATTTTGTCCAGAGACTATTTTAGGTGCTGCGTCATCTTATTATTGGGTCAGGCCCATGTATTTTCGAAATACTTAAGTATATGTTGTTTTTAGAGTCCGTTTGTGTGGGGAAACAAGAGTTAGGGTTGGTTTCGGACCCCTCCTCCAAGGGCCACGAAATCCCCCCCCTCTTCCTCCATATATACAGGCCTTAGGGCGTCGTTTAGACTTTGGGTTTTGTTTAGATTAAAGTTCGCCATAGCTGCAACTTCGCGTACTTCGTTTGTGTTCAACGATCAGACAAAGGCGTCACAGAACCCCACCTTGATCAATAAAGCTTTCCTCTTATATTCGTAATATCCAGATTGCAATCTTAGTTTCTTGCTTGTTCTTCGTTTGCTTGCAGGAAACAGACTTTCGTGGTCAGGTTGATCGTGCTCCGGCGTGGTCAATAACCTCTCGGAGTTGGTTTAGCGATTGCTAAAGCGCGACGTCCTCGCACGTTCATAGTCGGATCGTCAAAGTCGACTTCCTCCAAAACGATAGCCACAATCTCATCGAAAGATTGCTCGATGAGATTTTACAGTTTTTCGTAGTTTAGATCGAGTCTGCTCTTCATACCTATAGTCCACGAAAAAAGCCAAAAAAGTTTAGGGTTAGTTCATCCTATCCGAACCAATCTGAGCCTTTGCATAATCTTTTCTGTATTTGCTTTGTTGAATTTGCGGTTGCATTGTCGTGTCAAGTTGCTGGTCTTAGCGTCTGGTTTCCCTTAGAGTTTTAAGTTCTGTTCACAAGTTGTCACGCCGCCGCCGCACCATCGTCATTGTTCCTACCATATACCACCACCACCAATATATTCCTTACCGCTGCCATATACATCCGCCTGTCCACCACCAATCCGAGCCCAAATATACATCTGCCTGTCCACCACCAATCCGAGTCCACATATACATCCGCCTGCCCACCACCAATCCGAGTCCACATATACATCTGCTTGTCCACCACCAATCCCAGTTCTTTTCATATTAAGTTTGTTTTCAAGATCCATCTAATTTCCGTTTTGTGTTTCCTTGCCTGAGTAGGTCTCGGAAAAAAAATCGGCGACCCCCGGGCAGTTTTTAGGCCAAAATTTCGGTGAACCAATCTGAGTAGGTCTGGAGACCCCGGGGCAGTTTTTTAGGCCAAAATTTCCGCGACCAAAAACATTTTTCCCTATCCTATTTTTAGGTCCCACGAAGCGTTTTGAGGCACTCGCCATCATAGTGATTTTTTGTCGCACTTTTTCGTCGTCGCTGCCCTGATTTCCGAAAAAAAAATTGTCAAAAAAATTTCGTGCCCATCCTGTCAGTTTGACCTGGGAAGAGTTTTGAGACACTCGTCATTATAGTGATTTTTCACAAAAAAGGAAAAAAAAAAGAGCGCAAAAAAAGAGCGAAAAAAATTCCAGAGTGTGCTTTTCCCTTGTTTACGTGCAGCGCCATGATTTTGTTAGTGTTCTAGGCACGCATCTCTAGCACGGTGTAGCCTAGGACCAGCACAGTACCGTCGTTGAGTGTTTATTCAACTTTACATATCTGAATTGATTATTGCTGACCCTTTTTGCTACCATATTATAAGCCTTCCCAGCTCCACATGCATCTACGTCGTGCGTTTGACTCTCCCAAGCTTTGAGATCGCTCTATCCAAGCTTTGAGAGTTTTGACTACAACGGTTGCCGATCACCGCCTGCTGCTGGGTAAGAACTGGTAATAATTTGAGTTTTGCTTGACGGATTTGTGACACCCACCACCACCACTTGTTAGTAGTCTGTAGGATCATATTCTTGTGTGTTTCTATTGCTGCTAACCATTCCAGGATCACAAGCCGACGAGATTGACTGGGAGAACTTAATGAACAAGGAGCTTCATGATAAGTTTCAGTAAATGATGACTGAACAGGTGCAAGATGTGCTGAACAATTTTGAAGAGGCCATGGAGAAGATCACTGGCCTTGAGAAGACGTTCGAAACAAAGCTCGATAACAGATTTAATGAACTGCTTGCGCGTCTTCCACCACCGGCTGCACCTCTGCAACAACAACAACAACAACAACTACTACTACTACTACCTCCACGTCGCGAAATAGCCCTCCCGAGCGAGTCGTGTCCTTCTTCAGCCTGGCCAAACTGTTGGCGCTGCTGTTGCTACTTCTGTGGCTCCTGCTGCTGATGCGGAGGATGATTATGCGGGAGATTACGAGGATGAGGTTGATCAAAATCAGAACTACGTGCAACCACCAGCACCACAACCATCAGGTCGTCCACATGCAAATAATCACAATGGTAGGTCTCTCCCTCAGGTACGAGATCGTGACCATCTTTCTAAACTGAAATTGAATATTCCACCATTTGAGGGTAGATATGTTCCTGATATATATCTTACTAGGGAGTTAGAAACTGAACAACGATTTACATGTTTACAATATCCTGAGGAGAGACGTGTTCCTCCTGCTGTTTGTGCTTTCATTAGCTTTGCATGTGTTTGGTGGTCTGAACATTGTAGATTATATCCTATTCCAGCTACTTGGGCTGCTTTGAAAACTGCTATGCGTACTCATTGGGTTCCACCATATTATCAACGTGAATTAATTCAAAAATTGCAGCATTTGAGACAAGGAAAAAATTATGTCGAAGAATATTATCAGGAATTACAAACTGACATGATTAGATGTGGTATTGTTGAGGAGAATGAAGTTATGCTTGCGCGTTTATGGGTGGATTAAATAGAGAGATTCAGACCATTCTAGAGTATAAGGAGTATAATAATATCACTTGTTTATTCCATCTTGCTTGTAAAGCTGAGCGTGAAGTGCAGGATCGACAGGCATTGGCGCGAACTAACTTTTCTACAGGTCGATCTTCATCATGGACACCACGTGCATCCTCTACTTCCACTGCACCAGAACCTCCATCAGGTGCCACCTCCAGCCGTGATACAAGAAAGCAGGCACAACCACCACTATCTGCCAAGAGCACACCTGTCGGGGCTGCGTAGAACTCTTCTTCTTCCATGGCATCAACAGGGCACACAAGTGATATTATTTGTCGTCGTTGTAAGGGAAGAGGACATTTTGCGAGAGAATGTGAATCTTAGTGTGTGATGATTGCTACTGAGGATGGTGGGTATGAGTCTGCCAGTGACTACGATGAGGAGACTTTGGCTCTTATTATACATGAAGAACATGGTGGAGATGATTCTGATCATGAGACGCAATACATGGTTGCTGA